AAAAACATTTTGGTATTTTTCAGTTGTTTCGACATGGAATGATCCTGTTGAGGGTTGGATAGACAACTTCAACGGACCGGTCGGATTGATGGTTGGTGTTGGTAAAGGTTTAATACGTGTAGTTAGGACTGATCCTTCTGCAATTCCAGATAATGTTCCAGTAGACCTAGTCATTAAAGTGGTAATAATCATGGCTTGGAGACGTGGTATTAAAACGTAAGTCGGACACTTTCGTAATAAAACAATTTCATTTCTTATAGTATAATTTTCTAAAATATTAATAGAGCTGCTATATGCAACCGAATCTTCATGTATGTTTACATGTGTATTTATGTGTATACTGTCATTTATTGTAAATTTTATTCTTCAGTGAGATTAATACGATTGATATTTACAACTGCACGTCAAATCAAATTAAGTACCTGACTAACAAAGGTTCGTTGGACGTAGGCATGAAGATCACAGAGGAAATTCCTCTCGATAATATACTTTGGAAACCACGAACAATACTGACAACAAGTTCTTTTGTTTATTATATATTGGTGTTGCTACTGCACGTTATACCAGCGACAATCTTGGATGGAATGATGAAATTGTACGGTGCACGCTCAATGTAAGATTTACTGAAATATGCAAAAATTAATGACATTTTTTTGGTATATGTTGGATATTGCAATTTTCCTGCCTGTCCCAATTGAACCATTCATCCTCTAGTTTGCATTCGCGGCAACAGCCGTGCCACCAACTCTTATACCGATCCAGATTCATTTTCTTTTGTGTTTATGGTAGAGTTCACTCCTGTTGAGAAGCCGTTCACTCTGTATTTTTCAATATACGTGTATTCTTGTTTCTTTTTCTGAATTCTTGATTGTACGGTATAAATATGTTCGTTTGCACAATGTTCAATAAGCGGTGCCTCGATCCACGTAACCTTCTACGGTATAAATTTCTTTTAAAAGTTGGATTAAAATGCGAGACGTTTTAAAGTTGATGTACTTTTTGAATTCAGTTATTTTGATTACAAAAATCACACATTTTATCTCGGAGTTTCGTCGAAAGCGAAAAAATATAATACATTATATTTCCTAAAATTGTACATATGTGAAAACCACATGAGCAACTTCTTCAAGAATTAAATAATTAATAAGGTGTTCATTATTGCTAGAGTTTTGAGATTGTACAGAAAAGTATATGTAGTGAATACGTTCGCGTCGCATTTTTCATTAAATAAGTGGACATTTCATAATACAAAATGGAACACTGCGGTCGATAATCTCAGCGCTGATAATTGGAAAGACTTCGGTTTTGACTACAAAGATCTTGACCTACATGAATACTATAGGTAAATCCTACTTTCTTATAATATAATTTTGCATTATTATTTTATAACGTCCCATTTATCTATGTATATCATCGACATGAATTCTTACTTGCAGAAAGGCAATAAAGGGTTGTAAATTTTACCTACTGGACGAAAACGTAGACGATCTAACAGCAGCCAAACGTCATTATAAAAGGTGAGGTGCATCTTAAAAAATGGAGAATAGACAATTTCACCTTAAGATAGGAAATTTTTAGTTATTCTCTGGAGTTTCTGTTTGCGTCTCTAAATATTTTTTAGAATGCATACATATATCACATGTCTTATTGTTAGCATTACCTATCTATTACCACGACGCTCACACATTATTAAATATTCTGATAATCCTCCTTATAAAATATGGCGAGGATCTGTGTCAACTAAGAGTGTGTTCCGGCAAGAAACTGCTACTATCGCGCTACGCTAGCGCTACACGAGTGCGTTTCGGCAAAACGCAACTTTCCAATAGAACTGTAGCTAAACTTTTTCCACTTCATTGTTGCTTTTATCTGATAAATCATCGAACAATATGTTATTCATGAGCCAATCTTCAATATTTTCCATTCTATATTTGTTTCATTTAATTGGCAAACGCGACTCTTATAATTAAAATATAATTTTGAGGTCATGCTCGCTAATGTAAGTATGGCGCCGCTACAATTGTAGCAACAAAGCTGTAGCGCTACGGTAGCAGTGTCTTGCCGGAACTCACGCGGTTACAATTACCGTAGTAAGGTAGCAGTGTGACTGATACTCTAAATCTCGTAAAGTGCTTACTTTAATCTTTCCTGTCTTTCGGATTTGCGAAGTTCGAGAAATTGATTTCAATATTCCTCGTGAAAATGTCTGTCAATTAAATTGAGATAACAAATAAATCAGGCATACTAATGTAACAATTATTTGTTAAATTTTCAGTTTTACTTTACAACATTTAGTTTATTTAATTTCTTCGCAAATATGTTATTATGTATTTTTAATACTGCAAGCTTAAAATAATATTTAACACATTAATTTTACTCGACGTTTCAGGATGGAGTGGCTTGATAAAATAATCAAGACGTTATTCGTCGTGTTTATGTTATGGATACTATATAAGTATATAGCTACATATTAAGTAATTAAACAACTAATGTGTTAACCATGTGTTAACCTTCGAGCAAATGTAATCGCCAACGTACTAACTTGATTGCATCTGCCCCAATATATCTCTATCTTATTAGGTGTCTTTTGTTGTATTTCGTTAATAAATTCTCATCATAGCCGTAAAGCAATTAACAACAAAGTCAGTAATATTAGTTAAGAACGTTGTATTCACGAATTCCTTTTTATTATGTACAACATATAAACGAAATTAATTAAATCGTGTAAACAAGTAAGGTGATTTGAAAAGTGACACATCAAGTTTTTGTAATTTAAAATAAAATATTTATTTGTATTAAATTGTCTAAACCGCGGGCAACGGGCGTCCGCGGGCGCCCAGCCGGCGGACATGCCCCCACTCCAATCATCACCCCACCACGTTTAAAACTATTTAGTTTAGTTGGTGCCATTTGATGATATCATTACTTTTGTAGAGAAGATAGTTTTGTAGTGAAGATATTTTTGTAGAGCCCGGGTAGAGATGCAAATTGTCTAAACCGCGGACAACGGGCGTCCGCGGGCGCCCAGCCGGCGGGCATGCCCCCACTCCAAACATCGCTCCACCACGTTTAAAACTATTTAGTTTAGTTGGCGCCATTTGATGATATCATTACTTTTGTAGAGAAGATAGTTTTGTAGTGAAGATATTTTTGTAGAGATGCAAAAAAGATAGAGTAACAAAATATATTCGGTCGTTGGAGCTTATACTTGGTATCATTAACGTAAGAATAATCGCGAATTTACTTACTTACACATGGTACATAATAAAAACAAATTCGTGAATTCTACGTTCTTAACTAATATTACTGACTTTGCTGTTAATTGCCTTATGACTATGATGAGAACTTATCAACGAAACAGAACAAAGACATCTAATAAAAAAAAGATATATTGGGACATACATATGCAATCAAGTTAGTACGTTCAGTATTACATTTGCTCGAAGGTTAGCTTAAAAGACGGTTCTTCTTTCACTCCGGTGAGATCGCTTTTAGTCTTACATTAACAAATAGTAATAGTTGATTAATTTCACAACTTTAATAATACTTTAATAGGAAACCAATGAAAGAATAACTCTGGAATCAAACACAGTTATGTTGATGATTCCATAATTATATGTAGTTTAGATATTCAGTCTTAATTTACAATATTTAATGTACAGGAAGTGATATAGAACTTGTCTAATGATAATGATATTCTTGAGAGAATCAGGTTCTCCATATTAATACCTTGATCTGCATACATTGTGAGTCATTTTGTGTTTCCTTTTTTTCATAAACAATTGAAACAACAATATAAACCAACGCTCGGAATTAGTTGCCCTTTTTAACCTGCTTCCGGTGGTGAC